CAGGCCCTCTCCTCTCTGTGTTTCAGGGCGAGCCGGGCCCCCGGGGCGAGCCGGGCGAGAGGGGCACTTGGGTGAGTGGCACCGGGGACACCGGGGACGGGAGGGGGGCACAGGGGTTGGGTTGGGGGTGACAGGTACGGGAGGACCCCAACACCGTCCCTGGGACCCCAGTGATGTCCTCGGGGTCCCCACTTGTTCCCACAGCTTGTCCCTGGGTCCCGGGTGTTGGCAAAGGTGTCCCCAGCTCTTCCCAGTGTCCCACATGTCATCCCTGGCACCCCAGTGATGTCCTGTGTGTCCCCAGCCCTGCCCAAGTCTCATCCCCAGCACCCCAACAGTGGCACCAGGGGTCCCTGGCTGTGCCAAAGTCACCTCAACAGGGTGATGGGGCACAGGGTGGGCTCAGACCCCCCCGGGGTGCCCCCACTCTTTATCCCCTGGTGTTGTGGTGAGTCGGGGGGTCCCTGGGTCCCCACCTCCCCGGGGGTGGGCTGGGGCCATTTGGGGTGCAGCCCCCCCTCACCCCGTCCCTCTCTCCCGCAGGGGGAGGGTTTGCACCAGCTCCGCGAGGCGCTGAAGATTTTAGCGGAGAGGGTTTTAATCTTGGAAACAATGATTGGGCTCTACGGTGAGTAGGGGGACGGGGACCCCCGGGGTGAGCCCCACCCCTGACAGCAGGTCACCGGGTCCCCATGACATCACGGTGGCCCTTGGCTCAGTGACGCCATGGAGCTGCAGGGAGGGGACCCCTGGCAGCCCCTCCTTATGCCATGGGGGGACAGGGACAGCAGGGTGACCCCCATCCCTGGTCACCAGGCCCCCGTGACATCACGGTGGCCCTTGGCTATCATGACATCAGCCATGCAGGATGTCACCACCCACATGGTGGCATCATGGCCAGCACATGGGACCACTAAAAGGCCACCAGGGTCCCCCACCCTCACCTCCAGCTGGGCACTGCCCGCCTCAGGCAGGGACACTGTGACAGTCTGTGCTGGGGACAAGCCGGTGGCCCTCTGAGAAGGTTGGGGACATGTCCCCCCATGTTTTGTTGAGCTCAGTGTGCTGGGGGTGGCAGAGGGAGTGCCCCCAGGTCAGGGACATCAGTGTCCCCATCAGGGCACTGTCAGGGACATCAAGCCAGCAGCGTCTGCCACAGGGCCAGCACAAGGGACCCCACTGTCCCCAAGGAGCCACAGGGATGGGGGACCGCCGGCACCCCTCTGAGACCGGGAGGACCCTCCTGGGAGACCTGGCACCCCCTCCTCATGCCCCGGCACCCCCATCCCGCTGGGGCTGCACCGCTGCCGTGCCCCCACCATGCTGTGCCACCCCTGCTGTGCCGTGTCCCCGTCCCGTGTCCCCATCCCGTGTCCCCATCCCGTGTCCCCGTCCCATGCCCATCGCGGGGCCAACGCTCTCTGCTCTGCTCTGCTCTGCTCTCTCCCTCTCCCCCAGGCCAGTAGCTTCCAAACCCTCCTGCGGCAGCAGGCCCGGCTGGAGGTCCTGGCTAGAAGGGTCACCTTGCTGGAAGCCATCATCTGGCCAGGTAACCACCCCCACCCCACCCTGCCCCACCCCGCATGAGCCTGGAGCGCCGCGGCACCCCCGGGAGCGGGCATGGAGCACGGGGGGCTGCAGCCTCCAGGAACGGGGCACCGGAGAGCTCCGGGGCCACGGGAGAGCCTGGAGACCTGCCTGGACTGAGAGGGGCAACCTCGGAGATCCTCCTGGATTTAGCCACACAACCGTGGAGAGCCGCTTGGATTGAGAGGGGCAAACATGGAATACTCTTGGGTTGGGAGGTGACCATGGAGATCCTCATGGGCCAAGAGAAACTCTGGAGCTCCCCAAGGCTTAAGCGAGACCAAGGAGAGACCCTCTCACTCCAAAGGAGACCATGGAGACCCTCCTTGGACCAAGGGAGCTCTTCAGGGTTCAAGGGAGACCATGGAGCCCCTCTCACTGCAAAGGAGAGCATGGAAACCCCTCTTGGATCAAGGGGACCCATGGAGGCCCCCCAAGGCCAAGGGAAGCTCCAGAGCCCCTCTGGAACCAGGGGAGACCATGGAGCTCCCCAAGGCTCAAGGAAATCCTTGGAGAAGGGACACCATGGAGACCCCCTCAAGCCAAGGGAGACTCACGGAGTCCCCCGGGCTCACCAGAGGCCACGGGGACCCTCTCAGACTGGAGCAGCTCCCAGAGCTCCCGTTGTCCCAAGGGGTCCCCTGGTGCCAGCCCCCCCCGTGCCAGGTGCCCAGCTGGGGACAGCGGGTGCCCCCCACCCTCATCCCCCCTCCCCCTCCCATTCCAGCTGTGCTTTTCCACACCGGGGGTGCCAGGCAGGGGTGCCAGCTGGGGGGTCCTCGGGTGGGGACCCCCAGAGCCACAGAGGGGCAACGAGCCCCATTTCTGCGGGGCAGCACACCCACAGCCCCCAAGGCTGATTTGGGGATTTTTGGGGCAGGGGGTGCCATCCCACCCCTGACACCCCTTTTCTCTCTTCCCGCAGAGCCAGAGCCCGGCTCGGGCAGCGGTGTCCCCAGCACGGCGACCCCCGGGGTGCCCCGTGGCAAGCGTGGCAGTGGCCAGCCCCCCTAC